GAGGTCCCAGAGGTGAATTACGTATCTGCAATACAGATGTAGAAAAAAGAGAAAAACACCTCAATCAGGTACTGTTAAGACTGAATTTGGTTTAAACGTGCTATAGTTCAGTCATATGTTTTATACCTGTTACATCTTAAAATCAACTGTATGAGTGGACCTCAGTCACCTCCCTCCCCACAATTTCTACTCACCGTAAAATCACATGAGCAGTCCTCACTGTCACAAGAAGAGACTGTAATAAAAGATACAAACATTCCTCAGTTCAACTGAAAAGCATATTGTTCAAGTTTACCAACCACTTTATTTCCTCTGCTTCAAATTTCCGTGGAATATTTTCATAACCTAGAAACCCAACTTTCATTGAGACTTTTCCTGTTATTAGGTGACAACCAATTATACCTGCACACCTCCTGGGGATACCTTCTACAATCTTGAGATTCATCCTAGAAGTCTGACAATCACATTTTTTTATATAGCATCAAGTCATCATAATTAATTACCTAAAAGGAGGTTTGACTACTTAGCAATGCTATGAATTTAAGTATAGTTTAGTACTACTGTCCTAGCTATGAGTACCTGCCCTCTCCCTAACGCTTTGTGCACTCCCTTTATCTACCAGAGGAAAAGAGAATGAAGAAAAACAAAAACAAAATAAGGCTCTCATGTTATTTTTTATTATAGAAATTGATGTGAAGAAATATTTCTTCTTAATCTATCAGAATAGAACTGTTACCTTATTTATGTTTGAGATTATAATCCCATCTATAAGTGAACAATATTTTACCCAAGAAACACTATGAATATGAGGAATATAATTTAGTTCAAAATATCAAATCTGTTACATGATAAATTATCTCAAAAAGAAAAACAGTAATGAGTTAAAATAAAAGTATATACTACAGTATGACCCAATAGGCCTAATTCAAATGTGTTTATTTTTAGGTGTCTCTTTTTCAAAGTTTGGACTAATATTAATTGAAAGTTAGAGAACCAAAAGGCAAACATAAGTATCATTCAAATAGTGCTTTATAATAAAATGCATCTAAAGTAAACTAATTAAGGGGGGCCAGCCCGTGGCTCACTCGGGAGAGTGTGGTGCTGATAAAGTAAACTAATTAATGTCAGTGTAAACAAAGTTTTAAACAGATCTTATCCACGAGGAAATAATAGTTGTATACCTTTCATATAGAGAAAGTAGTCAACTAGGATTGCCCTAAAAATGTTTTTATTAAGCATTTAAATGTTCCCTTTCTAATTTTACTAACATTTTAAATATTTTTTCTAATACTCTGAAATGAATGCTATTAAGCAAAAATAAATTTTAACCCTGCTCTAACAAATTTCCAAATAGTGGTTCAAACTTAACTTGTCGTGATATAAGTTAATTCTATATATCTAATATTTCAATTTTTAAAATTAGTAATTATGGGTAGTTTGCCATTGGCCTGAGAAAAAAAGCAAATACAGACACTGTAAATAAGATCATACAAAAAAACTGGATTTCTACTAAACAGAAATTGGTATTTTCAGAAGGTTTAAAAAAGTAGAATTTTAAAAAAAATTTTAAATATTCATGGATGGCTGAGATTTTTCCTTCAAAATAACAAATACAGTTCATGTATTATATTGTTCATACTGTTCTGTAAAATCTTAATTTATACCCTAGCTTAAAAAAATTTTTTAAAATCAATTATACAGTATTTCATTAATAATCACCACCAACCATTGTTTATAACATCTTAAG